TTTTAGTAAGTTAATAAATGTCTAATTAATAGGTTATATAACATTTAAGGCCTAAAGAAAGACCTGTAATATGCAGATTTAGCTCTTGCATAATGCCTGTTTAATTTAAGATTATAAAACAAAATATTTATTTTGAGATTAAAGATGCTACATGTATTATAGATAATGAAAAATGAATGTATTGAAGATTTCGTTCAAATTACTTTATTCTGAGTGTGTTTGAAGTTGTAGCGTAGATTATCCATTTTATTTTTTATATCTTGTGGATTTTCTAATCTATTTAAATCTCAGCCATCAAGATGGGTTGGATGGCCGAATGGTTATCAGATGCGCACTGTCATTGAGTCAACTGACGTGGTTTTGAATCCCCAGTTTTACGTGACAAGGAGTAGGGTCGCATGTCTAACCTTGTGGGTTTTCTCCGGGTCCTCCAGTTTCCTCCCACTGCTAAAGACCCCTACGTGCAAGCGAATTATTGAAATAAAATTGAACCATGTGTTGGTCCCAAAATGACCTAGTCTGTGTCGAGTGGACATTAAACCTCATTTCTCTCTCTCTCAACCATCTGATTGTCCAGATAGTTGATTATAGGCTTGTCATGTTAATAAATGTCTAAATAATAATGTATATAACATTTGAAACCAAAATAAAGACCTGCAAAAAAGGCAGATTTAGCTGTTACATGTACATATAAATGTCTCTTTAATATGGTCAATATTTCATTTGTTGCTCAATGAACAATATTATTCTGGAAAGACACATTTCTGTTTATTGAGGTTGATTTCCAATATTCAAATGCATATTTGAGAAGGCACTACCAGTTTGTAAAGAGGACTTGAGTTATTTAAGCCAAATTATATCAGGATGATTACGGTATATATGCTAGAAGGTGATTATCTATGTGATACATAATCTACTAGAAATATTGTTATAGACCTGTTATCATGTGGTATGAAAGGCAGCGTGACATGTACTCACTAGTCTCAGTAAAACAATTTCGCCATCAAACAGAGTAATTCTGCCATGTGTGATTAAAGATCACAGGATTGATGTTTAATGATGATGAAATTTGTCTCTGTTTTCTTACATAATGTAATTCTTCTTATTTCGCAACATTTATGTTCTATAGAATAAAAGTCTTACTTATTTCTTCAACTTTATTCTTCGATATCAGCATGGGAAAAGCCTAGATATGCTTAACATTATGCATTAGACACACACCTTCATGAAATTAAAATATTTGGTACAAAAAGTACGTCTAATCCACCGACAATTTTCACAATTAGTCAGACTGCAGCAGCGTTTTCACCATTAGTCAGACTGTGGCAGAATTTTCACCATTAGTCAAAATGCAGCAGAGTTTTCAGCATTAGTCAAAATGCAGCAGAATTTTCACCATTAGTCTGACTGCAGTAGAGTTTTCTCCATTAGTCAGAATGCAGCAGGGTTTTTACTTTAACATTTGGACAGCCAGTCAATTTTTTACTTATTTTATTTATTATGGATTGGCCAGATATTTTTTCCAAAGAAAATGACAATTTTTAGCATTATACTAATATTTCCAAACATAAAAACTATACATATATATATACATACATACATGAAAATACTTATAATGCCATTTCCAGATACTGCTCAACCGTGCATGGGGAAAACTCATCAATGACACAAAGGTGAAACACTAATCAACCTGCATTTGTATTTTAAGGTTAAATTCTCCATCAAGTCAATTTCACTGGCTGTCAGTCAAGACTAGAAATATGACCTTAACAAGAGCCTTGGGAATTTGCCTCAAATTATCATGCACCGGTATATGTATGTATTGAACAGAATTGAACCAATGTCAGACTCATATTCCTACTCGAGATTCAACTATTACCATCTTGAAGTTTGCAAGTTATTCCTATGATTCAAATAATACTTGTGGTCGTAACTATCTCAAAATTTGTCTATGAAATTAAATCAGATATATTTTCAATGAGGAATAAATTTTACACGAAAAAAAAATGTGTCGAAATATATTACCACCATTTTATATAATCATTATACCAGTATTCTGTAGAAAGATTAAAATAATGTAAAATTTTAATGCAAATTGTTTTAACAATACGTCTAACACTTTGCTATCTATAGAAATAAACACTATACACAGGGACAGTCTGCCATTTGGTAATGAGATTTCCGTGAAACGGAAACATTTTTAAGGGCATTTACAATGGATGGATATAACATTTATCTCTTGAATTGTCACCTGATGTTCAAGAAAACGAGGTATGCTTTAATAAGCGTTAAATGTCAAAAGCCCAGAGAGTATGATTAAAATAAATGACATCTGATTCTGAAGAAGAAGTTTGTCTAGTACGAGACATTAAAAAGAATCTCTAAATACAACGTCTAAAAACCTCACTACAATTTCAACATCAATTTTTTTTTTTGATGAAATATAAGAAACCCAGAAATAAATCCTGATAACCTTTAAATTGCAACCAGTTTTTGTTATTGAATAAAAGTTGTGTATTAAAGTATGGCAGTCAAGTTTGAATAATGTCACGGGCAGCTCCTGGCTTCATCCATTTCTATAAATTCAAACAATAACATTATTATTTAAATCTGGTCATTAGCCCGGTTGGTGCAGAAAAGTAAGATATTAAATGCCACTTCATTTCATTTGTATTAAAAAATTATTGGGACGCACAAAATGTTCCAAGAACAGTGCTATCAACTATTGTGTGAAGTTTTACAATTACGACCATTTGTCAAGCATTTTTCAGAAAAAATAATTTGTGATAGAAATCATTCTCTTTAAACTATTAGTGATACATGTTGTTTACATCTGTTCTAACCTTTAAACAATTAACTCATATTCTGTATTCAAAGTAAATTCATGACACTATAAATAAAAGGGTTATAAAACCCCATACAAGTGTACTTGAAATACATGTATGGTTTAACAGCTGTCGAAGCTAGATTTATATTTCAGAAAACTCAAGCTTAAATCAGATCAGTTAGAAAACCAAATGACACAATATAGTACAGCTCGATAAGCACACTATACAGTATAGCTTAGCACACTATACAGTACTACCTAGCACACTATATAGTAAAGCTCACCACATTATATAGTAAAACTCAGCACACTATATAGTACAGCTCAGTACACTATATAGTACAGATCAGCACACTATATAGTACAGCTTAGCACACTATATATAGTACACTTCATAAGCACACTATATATAGCCCACTTCAGCACATTATATATAATGCTGTTCAGCACACTATATAGTAAAGCTAAGCACACTGTGTAGTACAGCTCAGCACACTAAATATTTCTTCTCAGCACACTATAGTGCGGCTCAGCACAGCAGTATAGTAAAGCTTAGCACACTGTATAGTACAGCTCAGCACACTAAATATTTCTTCTCAGGACACTATAGTGCGGCTCAGCACAGCAGTATAGTAAAGCTAAGCACACTGTGTAGTACAGCTCAGCACACTAAATATTTCTTCTCAGCACACTATAGTGCGGCTCAGCACAGCAGTATAGTAAAGCTTAGCACACTGTATAGCTCAGCTTAGAATTCAGCCATGTTAGTATCCAGTAGATACACATAAACTGTAAAGAAAACCTAATGAGATCATCTTGAGAAAAAGTGATAGATGCCATTTAAATGTTAATGGAAACCTTTTAAGTGAATTTTATGACTGTAAGAAGAATAATAAAGTTAGTTATCTGTTCAGCCGAATGTCATTCAATCAGGGCAATTGGTAAAATGGCTATCATGTTTAATTCTATAAAATTCTAAAAATGTTTACATTTATTCTGTAATATGTCTAATGAAATAAATTTATTTTTTAATAATTCAATTGTCTTATGAAATACATTATTTTTGTAGGCCTATAAATTTTAGTATCCTTTTTCAAATTTTGATAAACTTGAGTTTTTAAGACAAACTAAAAATCTGTGCAAAATGCAACTCCTTAAAGGGACAATAACACTCTTGCTGGCTTGACAGCTCCAGAAAATAAATAATAGCCTTATTTTAAGTATTAGATGTTTAAGTCTCCTACCTGTTGTGTAAATTATCCATTAAATCCTATTTTACTTGTCCAGAGGGTTCGAAAATATTTTTAAATCCAAGTCACATTTGAAAAGCTTTACGTTTGGCTTTTCAAATCATTTAGTTGAATTTTTCCAATTTTTTAAATTAGGTGTGTTTAGAAGAAATTTGTATCATCAATTAATTGGAATATTGTAAAATAGTACAATTTGTTGACCAGAATAAAGATTGGGACATATTATTCAGTTACAACAAGAGTGGTATTGAGCCTTTAAAAACAACGGAATTACAGGATGAACTAACTCCTAATAATGAAGAAAATACAGTATAGGCCTTCATAATCCCTAATAAGGAAGAAAATGCAGTATATGACTACATAATCCCTAATAAGGAAGAAAATACAGTATAGGCCTTCATAATCCCTAATAAGGAAGAAAATACAGTATAGGCCTTCATAATCCCTAATAAGGAAGAAAATACAGTATAGGCCTTCATAATCCCTAATAAGGAAGAAAATGTAGTATATGACTACATAATCCCTAATAAGGAAGAAAATACAGTATAGGCCTTCATAATCCCTAATAAGGAAGAAAATGCAGTATATGACTACATAATCCCTAATAAGGAAGAAAATGCAGTATATGACTACATAATCTCTAATAAGGAAGAAAATACAGTATAAGTCTACATCATCCCTAATAATATAGAAAATACAGTACAGCCCTACAAAATCTGTAATAATATAGGAAATATAGTATAGGCCTACATAACCCCTTATTATGAAAAATAAAGAAGAAGAAGGCGTTGATAATAAACAGGAAAAAAAAAATAAAACATAAATAATAGATAGCATGGTATGGGTGAGCAGGAAATAAGGAAAATAAACAAATTATGATCTCTATCTAAGGAAGGATTATAACAATCGTCACAGAAACTTACTCGGCCGGTAAATCAGCTGCCTCGTCCTCTTGACCAGGGATATCTACATGTATAAAGGCTGCCCTTTGTGTAATGGCTTCCATACATGGATTCTGTAAAAAGTTGATCCACATTGAATCTGAAAAAGAAATGGGTAGAAAATATATTTTGGATGAAAATGAGGTGAATTGCAATGCTTTAGTCATTAGGTTCTTGGGGGTATGGTGGTCAAGCATGCTAGGAACTGGACTCTTGATTAGAATGTAACAGGTTCAAATTGTTCTGTGGATCAAGAAAAACCTGTATAATCAAACAAGCCCTGTTCCCTGTATGGTCTGAAAAATCAAGGTGCATCCATGTTCGTTTGTTCTCTTAGTGTTTAACATTCTCTTCGAGCCAGGGTGATATGTCAAATAAGTTACTATATTTTTTATCTTAGCATATGCGCAGAGTCTTTCCTGTGGAAGGAAAATGGTACTACGAGGTTGAGAAGGCGCCCCTATTTCCAAGCCGCATACACTCACACCATGCATACATGGGCATGTACTCGTCGTTGAAGAGTAGGCAGACACACCACTGTCTGGGCAAAACTCACCTCCCTAGACATGGATATAGAACAAAAGATAAACTGTATATTTGTAATAAAATGACCAAAGTATTGTATTAACCAGATAAGAAGCCCTATTCCATTAGGATCCTTATACACTTAACAAAAACATCTTTGCCGAAAAAAAAAAAAAATTCTTAAAGCACCAATGTCCCTGTAGGCCAAAATGTGCCATTTTAGCAATATTTCATTAGGATCCTTATACACATAACAAAAACTTCTTTCCAATAAAGAAACAAATTCTTAAAGCGTCAATGTGGCTGAAGACCAAAATGTCATTTCCTTATTTAAAGTAAACAAAAGTAAGTATATTCTTTATTTCAAGTCCCAATGCGCCATTTTAGTGATATTCCATTAGGATCCTTATACACGTAACAAAAACTTCTTTCCAATAAAGAAACAAATTCTTAAAGCGTCAATGTGGCTGAAGACCAAAATGTCATTTCCTTATTTAAAGTAAACAAAAATAATTATATCTTCTATTTCAAGTCCCAATGCACCATTTAAGCGATATAGGAATCATTTGCAAACTACAATATTGTAAAAGATGAATATGATCTAATTCAAGCCAGGACAATAACCAGTGTTAATATTTTGATTTTGTTTTAAAATATTTACAAATATTTACGTCTGTCATCATATTCCGTGAGAGATTAGTTATTTTAACGAAAAATGAAGAAGATTCATCGCAACTTAATGCTAGGTTCCCACTATCACGATTCGCACTTTTAATTGTGGAGTAATCGTGGTGATCCTATCAGGTCTTATCATATATTGAGGTTAGTTGCAGCAATCGTGTTGGTCGTATCGAAACGTATCAGAACGTACATGTATCTACACGTACCAGATCGTGGACTTAATAGGGACAATCCAAGCGTAATCTATCACACGACAGTGGAAATCTAGCATTAATAAGAGCTGAAAAGTGCTCTTCAGATAATAGTTTAGATAATTAAATGAAAACAAACTCAGGATGGCTACCATCTTGACTCTGAGTTTCATGGACATAAATAAGTCTGTATCATTCAGATGTCGAAAGATGATTACAACAAAAATAACGGCATTAAATCGATAGAACGTACACATAATCTGAATTTAGATGGCCAGAACATTCGTTAAGATTGATCAATTTTAAAAACGTCTGGATCAATATGCTGATCGTTAAGACTATTTTTTTATTGTGTTGTGTCTGGAACATTGGAAATCTTTAAATTTACATGTAAAATCAATGCGTACATGAGTCGCTCATTTTCTTGTTCTATAATCCATCTGACGACAGACGTAAATATTTGTAAATATTTGGTCTTATTTACTACAAATGACATGCAAGGCCTCATTACCTCCGACGTCCCTAATACTTCATTAATTTTTAGTATGTTTATATTTTGGAAAGTGAAAATGAAATGAAATGGGGTTCAACGTCCTCATGTTCTGCTCCGACTGGGCTAATGAAGACGAACATATGCTAAACAGTGTGCAATGAGGGAAATCTTGCCTGGATAGCGGCGCTACGGTCTACTCTTATATCGAATTCCAACTGGTTCTCCCTTGTCAGTGATGCAGGACGGAGGGCCTGACAAGGACAGCTGTCTAGTTGTTCGGATGGGACAGAAAACCGAGGTGTACACATTGGCATGCACGTAAAAGATCTCTTGACAGTTGGAATTTGATATAAGAGTAGGCCGTAGTGCCGCTGTCCAGGCAAAATTTGCCTCATAGCACACTGTATGGCGTATGCCCGTCTTAATTAGCGCAGTTCGGAGCAGAACAGTAGGATGTTAAACCCCATTTCATTTCATTTCATATTGGTCTCATTATTTCTATTACACATTGCATGCAATTATTAATTTTGTTTTCATTTTGAGTGAAAACTGTATCATTACAGGCATAGGACTGTAAAGTGCCATGAACGGTTACGGCTGTCAACCTGTCCCATTCACTTGATTTGATATTTGCTGTTTATTTCTTGCAATGTCTATATATAGTTTTTGTCTTGACGGCAGATCTGTCTTGTCGGTTTTCCTGCACTTACTTTCAATAAATCCTCTACCTAATTCGTATTTCATGTACCAACTGTCAACAAGTCTTAGCGATTTCTGTGAATAATAACAACCCACACCGATTTTGGGTTAGCAGGTGTCAAATAAACGAATGATTGCTTTTATTTCAACAGATAATGGATCGAGCAAGAAGTAAATTCGTTTTGTTAGACTTGACGGTGGCATAATCTAATTGAATGCATCAATTGAATAACTTCCACTACTCTGAACACCAGAACATTATTTGTATTGTGTACGATATAATGCTCTGCTGGGATTCAGCAGTTGATTAGGTCGGATCATGTACACGTAGTAACTGTAAACTGACATGCTCCGGAGATTTGGTGTAAAACAAATACTGTAGCTGTTACTGAATAAAGGAAGTGATCAATCAGTCATCTATATAACCAATATTCTTCATGTACATTAGACCTTGGTTTGTAATATAACGTGGATATGTAAGATGGGTCATGTGTGTTAACCCTTTGGTTACCAATTCACAACATATATACACTAGGCTCTTGTGTCAGATGTTGCCTTGACATCCAATGTCTTGTTTGGACATAAAACAGAAAAGACAACCAACCGTTCGTAAAATCGGCACAAGAACGTTGCTTTCTTGGTTTATTTCCAATATGGTGCCAGTCGTACCAACAGGTTGTTTTTATTGTATGTGGATGGTTCTGCCCGAAAATGAGCCACGCTCATATTGTGTTCACTTCTACGTCATATTCCGGTTGCAGGGTGTTCAGAGGGTTAATCATAATATTGTTTACTACTATGTCACATCAGTCAATCACTCGGTGTTTAGAGGGTTAATCAAAATATTGTGTTCACTATTTCATCAGAGCTGGTCGCTCGGTGTTCACAGGGTTAAAAAGCACATTAGTAGAGCAACATTATAATTTTGGACATAAGAGATTACGAAAGTGGTTTATTAATCTAGAAGGCGTTTAACATCTTACCTTTTCTGCACCAACTAGGCTCATAAAAGCAGGCATACACCATGCAGTGTGCAAAGAGGGGAGAGAGAGAGAGAGAGAGAGAGAGAGAGTGAGAGAGCAATGGGGTTATAACGTCCACACGACACAAACCAGGTCATTTTGGGACTAACATACATGTATAGCTTAATTTTATTTCAATAATTCGCTTGAGTGTAGGGGTCTTTAGCAGTGGGAGGAAACCGGAGGATCTGGAAAAAACCCACTAGGTTGGACAGGCGACCCCACTCCTTGCCTTGTCACATACAAACGGGGAATCGAAACCCCGCCAGTTGACTCAATGACAGACCATATGATACAGCACGCACATGCTAACCATTTGGCTATCCACACCCCCCCCCCCCCCCCAAAGAGGTGATATTTGGCTGTTCAGCAGTGGTTCTGCTTACCATCTTCAATTTCCATCTACCAAGGGTTCGTTTGCATCGATGCCAATATGTACATAAGACCCTATTTTTTTTGCCCACTCCAAACACCTAGACATTTATTTCTTTGCCAGGCTCTCCATCATATACAAATGACAACCGTTCTTTTGCATCCATGCCAATATCTTCATACCTGTAGGACCTTACGTTTTTTTGCCCACTCCGAAAATCGTCCTGTACCACTGACAAGGAAACTTTCTCGACACACGACTGGATCAAACCCAGGAACTCCTGTTTAGTGAACCAGCGCCTTACTCGCTGAGCCACATCCAAATTAATTTAGAACAGAACGTGTATCAAAACACAAACTGACATTTTGACTGACCATACAGAGCTACAACATTGTGAATCGTAAATGTTTGACTATTGGCAGCACGTCAAAGATCCCCTGTCAGATGGAAATCAAAATATGAGTAGGCATCAGTATGGCTGTCTTCATTAGTGATACATTATGTAAGATTTAGATAAAGAGTTGACCATTCTTGCTATCAAACATAGATAATGAAAAATAAATATATTGAAAATTTCAGTCTGATTAATTTATACTAAGATATGGATGTTTGTTGTTTTGATAAGAAAAGTATAGTCTGGTTTTCATTGCTACCATTGATACGATAATAATAAATTATTAAATGGTGATTCTGTTTCAATCCATTAAAAATCATGACCATCCAAAGATCTAGTGAATTGTTTATGGGCCAGGCATGTGAATCAATGTTTAATTTATAGTTTATATAACATTTAAGGCCAAATGAAAGACCTGCAATGGGCAGATATAGCTTTTACATAATGCATCTTTAAGTTAGATGACTTTATCCAGAAAAATATGATCATGTTTTATCTATCTCTGTGTTCACAATTAACAGTTGGTGCATAAGAAGTTGAACAACATTTCATAAACAGCATCAACAACGATACATCTGTTCAAATTCTTACTAGGTGATAATTGTGCAACCATTTCTGTGGGAACTGTTAAACATACTGTATCATTTAATGCATGGTAATATATTTAATAATTCTTTACTTACGATTGCATCCTAAATCGTGTACTGTCAAAATAACAAAATTTCTGTGTTTCAGATCTCCCTGAAAATAGAAGAAGTCAAAATAAGTTACCATGGAGAATTAAATTTGAGGCTGATGGGGAGGAGATCAGCCAGGTCTGGGGTATCATTTCCATATGGAAAATTTGTCTATAAGGAATTCTAGTAAAGTTAACAGTTGGGGTTTGGGTTAACTGCTCTTGGCACTAATAAGTTATAAGTTAACTGCTCCTGGTTCTAATCCTTGTGGATAGAAACTGGTTATTATTCAGCAGATGACTAACAGGCATATCATAAAATAAAGAGAAACTAATTGGAAGTTTAGGTGGCCGTACATGAACTGGTTAACATAGGGGTAGATATATTTTAATCTATACTAATATTTGTGACTTTCGTTTGTCTGTCTGTTCAGGGTTGGTGGCTACACTAGGTTGTCCAGGGGCTGTCCAGGGAGTAGCATAGGCCAGGTGTTGATGGATTACCACTTCTGGTTTCGGAGTTGACACAGAGAAGAGCCTAGATTTGCTTAACACTATGTATTAGACGCACCCCTTCTATAAATTAAAATATCTGGTAAAAAAAGTGCGCCTAATACATCGAAAAATACAGTACTTCTGATTCATGGCTAAACCCATGCAGCACCAGGTCAACTGCTAGTAATATGTCCAACCTCGTGGGTTTTCTCCGGGTTCTCCGGTTTCCTCCCACTGCTAAAGACCCCTATGCGCAAGCGAATTATTGAAATAAAATTAAACCATATGTTAGTCCCGAAATGACCTAGTTTGTGTCGAGTGGACGTTAAACCCAATTCTCTCTCTCTCTCTCTCTCTCTCTCTCTCTCTCTCTCTCTCTCTCTCTCTCTGCCTGTCCAACCTCGTGGCTTTTTCCTGGGACCTTCGGTTTTCTCCCACTGCTAAAGATCCCTATGCACAAGCGAATTATTGAAATAAAATTAAACCATATGTTAGTCCCTAGTTTGTGTCGTGTGGAAGTTAAACCCCATCTGTCTCTCTCTCTTGCTTGTAGCTACATGTGTACAACATGTCTTAATCGTTCTACTCTATACATCACTGTCATAATATAAGTAACTATTGTTTTTCTCATAAACAAACGAACCATGAATGGCTGAAGTTGACAAATATATGGTATTTACTTATAGGTCTAGACAAAACTAAAAGTAGGTAATTGGATTCAGTAACATCAGTGAGTATATTGTCATCAGAATTATCACAAGTCATACACAACTTACTCAGATTTACTGGTATTATTTAAACACACATTATGCAAGAGCTTAATCTGTCTATTGCAGGTCTTTCTTTAGGCCTGAATTGTTATCTAATCTATTAATTAGACATTTATTAACAAAACAAGACCATAATCGACTTTCGACTTTAGTAATGATGATCAAGGCTAGGCCCCCCCAAAAATTATTAAATAAAAAATTAAACCATGTTAGTCCTGAAATAACCTTAGTTTGTTTCAAGTGGACGTTGAACCCCATTAATTAACTTATCCAGACCTTAATCAACTCTCGATGTCATCACTAGCCTGCGATATTTACTGGATTATAATCCGATCTGCTGCTCAACACTCATTCATGATTAAATCAAAAAATGGATAGTCGAGACTATGTTTTTTATCGATACGACTTTAATAATGATGATCAAGGCTAGGCCTAAAATTCAATGGCTAAATTCTCGGTTCAGGGTGGATCAGTTTGACTGAAATGTTCAGCAAATTCCCTTTACATTATCTAGTTTTTATACGTCCACATTCATAATGTGAACGTATTATGCCGTCGCCCCTGTCTGTGTGTGTGTGTGTGTGTGTGTATGTATGTATGTGTGTGTGTGTGTGTGTCTGTGGTTCGCCTACAGGGCGCAATTCTTCATGGATTTTCTTCAAACTTGGTATACTTATTCCTTATACCCCAAGGAAGATCCCTATTGTTTTTGGTGCATGCCCGACCCCCCGGGGCAGAGCCACGCCCATTTCTAGTATTTGTTTGTTTGTCGTCTACAGGCCACATTTCTTAACTAATAATCTTGAAACTTTGCATACACATTCTTTGTACCCTAAGGAACATCCCTATCGTTTGGGGTGCATGCCCAACCCCCAGGGGCAGAGCCACGCCCATTTTCTTTTCGTGTGTCTTTGTGTCGCCTACAGGGCGCAATTCTTACTGGATTTTCTTCAAACTTGGTATACTTATTCCTTATACCCCAAGGAAGATCCCTATTGTTTTTGGTGCATGCCCGACCCCCAGGGGCAGAGCCACGCCCATTTCTAGTATTTGTTTGTTTGTCGTCTACAGGCCACATTTCTTAACTTATAATCTTGCATACACATTCTTTGTACCCTAAGGAACATCCCTATCGTTTGGGGTACATGCCCAACCCCCAGGGGCAGAGCCACGCCCATTTCCCATTTTCTTTTCGTGTGTCTTTGTGTCGCCTACAGGGCGCAATTCTTACTGGATTTTCTTCAAACTTGGTATACTTATTCCTTATACCCCAAGGAAGATCCCTATTGTTTTTGGTGCATGCCCGACCCCCAGGGGCAGAGCCACGCCCATTCCTTATATTTATTTATTTGTTTGTCATCTACAGACCGCATTTCTTAACGTATCAACTTTACATATTTATTCCTTATACCCTAAGGATGATCCCTATTGTTTTTAGTGCATGCTCGCCTCCCCGGGGCAGAGCCACGCCCATTTTTGTATTTGTTTGTTTGTCGTCTACAGGCCGCATTTCTTAACGTATCATCTTGAAACTTTGCATACTTATTCTTTGTACCCTCAGGAACATCCCTATCGTTTTGGGTGCATGCCCACCCCCCAGGGGCAAAGCCACGCCCATTTTCTTTTTCTATGTGTGTGTGTCGCCTACAGACCACAATTCTTAATCAATTGTCTTGAAATTTTTTCATATGAATTGCTTATACCCTAACGATGACCCCTATTGTTTTTTTACCCCCAGGGGCAGAGCCACGCCCATTTTCTTTTCTTTTTATGTCTGTGTGTCACCTACAGGCCACAATTCTTAATCAATCGTCTTGAAAATTTTTCATATGAATTGCTTATACCCTAAGTATGATCCCTATTGTTTTTGGTGCATGCCCGACCACCAGGGGTAGAGCCACGCCCATCCCTTATATTTATTTATTTGTTTGTCATCTACAGATCGCATTTCTTATCGTATCACCTTGAAACTTAGCATACATATTCCTTCTATCCTAAGGAACATCCCTATTAGTTGTGGTGAATACCCAACCCCCAGGGGCAGAGCTACGCCCATTTTCTTTTTTTATGTCTGTGTGTCACTTGCAGACCGCATTTCTTAATCGATCATCTTGAAATTTTTTTTAGACTTATTCCTTATAGCCTAAGGCTACGTTTTTACACTTATTCCTTAATCCTAAGGCTGGCCTCTATTATTATTTTTGGTGCATGCTCAACCCCTTGGGACAGAGTCACGCCTAATGTTTGTGTGTCTTGTGTTTTGCCTACAGGCCGCAATTCTTAACCGATCCTTTTGAAATGGGGATACCTATTCTAAACGTCATGCTTTTAGAATAAAGACATCGATTGTTTTAAAATAAAAATTGTGTTCTGTTAATGTGAACGAAACGTTAAACTGATAGCAGTCCTACAACCCAGTTTTATTTCACAGACCCTCAATGCAAACTGGACCATATCAAACAAAACAGGAATGTGGACGTATATTGCTGCGTTAGCGATGCTCTTGTTAACTATTATAGTGAGAATTGCCAGCTCTTTATCTAATCTCCCTTAATGTATCTTTAAAGTCCACTTTTTTGAAAATATCAAATTTTCAATGATGCATGTGGAAAGGCTTGATACTAATTCATCCTTGTCAGTTACATTCCTGGATCAAACCCCACAGTTGTTATAATCTACGCATTAAAGGGAGTTTAACATCCTCTCAATATTAATTAGAATTTTTTATTTTTATATTTCAGGGGTCTGTATTAGCAGTGGGAGGAAACTGTGAATATTCAGAGAACATCCATTTTATGTACAGATGTTAATGTAACCCATGACGATATACATTATATTCCATGGGACGCTGATTAGACCCTCCCCTCCTCTAACATTGGGATGTCGGTGGCCGAATGGTTTAATGTGTACACTTTAGATCAATGGGTCAATGGGTCAAGTTGCGTAGTTTCAATTCCCCTCTTGTACATGACAAGGAGTAGGGTCGCCTGTCCAACTTTGTGGGTTTTTCTCAAGGTCTTCCAGTTTCCTCCCACTGCTAAAGACCCCTATGCACAAGCAAATTATTAAATAACCTAGTTTTGTGTCGAGTGGACGTTAAACCCCATTTCTCTCTCTCTTGCTTTCTTCGTTAATTAAAAAGATCAAATTAGAGTTCGTGTCAAGTGGACTTTAAACCCCATTTCTCTTTCTCTGTTTCCTCTAATAAAAGAAGTAATACATGGAAATGTTATCAAGTTCGTGTATGAATCAATACCACATAAAATTGATCATAGGAAAACTTCCTGTTGGGGTGTGGTCGATTATAATAACCTGTTTTCTACATCAATTAATTATTCATGCTGAGATAAAAGAAAATACCAGACAAGACATTACATGACGATTGGGAATCAATTGGCGGTATTCCATTCAATCTGTGAAATTCTAACATTTGAAGGCTTTTATACAGTGATTCGTAACATTACAAATGAAATGAGGTTTAACATCCTCCTGCTCCTGATATTCGGTTACTAATAATAGGCTCGGTGGTACATGTATATACATGTAGCATAACATAAACAAAAACATTATAACTTTTTAAAAAAGTACCGGAAATAGGGGCAAATTAACAAAATAGCTCAATGCATAAATAAATAAATATACAGTATCTATAAATTGGGTTTAACGTCAACAGTGAACATAGCCCGATTATTTCAGGACTAACTTATGTTTATATCACGACCCCGTTTAGCAGTGCGACGAAACATTACAGAACTGGGACAGGCAACCCTGTTCCTTGGCACGTACAATAAATGAAATGA